TTAGAAAGAAGTCAGATCTTTCCAAGGAAGATGAAGAATTCTACTGAAATGACCTTCTGAAACAACCTTTTACCATTCACTGTACCTCTCAGGAGGGGTCATTGAGAGACGGATGTATAATCTTAATTCTTGGGCAACCCATGTTAGGGCAAGTGACAGTGACTTCCCCAGGACTACCCAATGAGTTTCATGACTGAACAGAAATTAAAATTTAAAATTGAGCACCACACATCCAAATTCCAGCACCACCACTTGGCAGTAGCAATATGACCCACTGTGGCTGCCACAACCCTTGGGATGCAGAGGATTATGGGCCTGTTATTGAGGATGGGAGGAGCATGAAGATGGAGGATGCCTCTGAGCTTCTCCCCCCTTGCAAAACAGTTAGAGGGCTGATTTTGGCCAACTAAGTCTTCTCTTCCTGCTTACACAGAGAAGAATGACTCATATCACGGCAGAGCGTCTTTCCTTCCCTCCCTGTCCCCTGAACTCTGATTCAGAAGCTGGTTTCTGACCTCATAGCCCCAACTGGAGCTGTGAGGGTAGAGAGGGGGCACTCAGAGGCTGGAGGCCCCGCTAGGATGCTGAATTTTCCTATGTCTGTCTAGTCTGTGTGGAGCAGCCAGTGTTGTGGCCTTGCTCTCCTGCAGACAAAGCACATGGTCCATTGTTGCACACATCATGTTGTATGGTAGGGATGGGGGGCCTGTGGCCCACAGGCCACATCCTGCCCTTTGGCCTGACAAACTCCTTTCCCAGCCTTCATCCTTCTCTCTCAGCACTCGACAGGGAGCGTGTCCCCCCAGCTCAGGCGATGCGCATGGATGAAGATGGGTATGAGTGCTCGGGGGGTGGGGGTGGCACCACTGAACAACACTGAGCAGGGACCTTTTTTGCCTGAGTGGGAGCCCAGTCACTGCGGGCCTGCAGCCCCTGGCATCCTGCTCCAAGGCCAGTTTGGTCCTTAGGCTGAAAATGGTTTCTCATCTCTGCTCTATTGCCTTAAAACAGTTGCTGTATTTTACATAGCTGCAAGAGGGGCTCCTTTTAATCAAATGTACTCTTCGTGACTACAGGAATGCACAAATGTGATTGGCAACATAATGTTCTCTAAAGTCCTTAATTCCAAAGACCATGTTGCTGCATGTACCTGTTACTAAGGTAACAGCTGTTGTCTCCCCCTCCATATCTTTCCCTGAACTCAACTGCAAAATAAAGGCAGGCAGAAGAATCCAAGTTATAATTAACTCTCCTTCTGTAAAATACTTGCAGTGTGATATAAGAGAAAGGTGCGTGCGTGTTATAGACAATCCATAGGAATTACTCAGGGCCGAGCCCCGCCACCATCTCTAGAGTAGTCTCTTGGTCACAGTGAATTTCCAATGTGCATTGGCTTCAGCCCAGCCCCGTGGAGCAGACAAGCAAGTGGACGGTCTGCTCCACAGGAAGTGGGTAGAAGTGGATCTTGAACGCTTCAATTTTTCATCTAGCAGATTTGACAGGCATTTCATTACTAGGTACTAATTTGAAATGGAATCTTTCCATGAAAGCTATGAGAAGGAGTAAAAAAAAGTGCTCATTTAGACTGTAAGAATCACAATTCCCAGGAAATTCAAATGCCAGTAAATTGCTTTTAATTTAAGGAGATACACAAATTCAGATAAAAGAGCCTGAGTTACTGTATTCCCAATGGGTGAATATTGTTTTTTTGTCTTGCTTTGTTTATTCCATGAGGTCCATACTATCATTTATGGTAACGCACAAATGATTACCAGTCCCTTGTTTCTTTGGATTAGCTTTTTAATCACAATACCTGCCTCCTAACCCTTGGGATGAGACAAATTGTACACTGTAATAAAACCATCCACACAGGAAACTATGCTGTAGTTGATCTCATGTTTTGTTATTGGATTGTGCTTTACAGCAGCGATGGCCAACTATAGCAGCCTATAACCTAGATACAATTCCCAGGCAAATTTGATCAGTTCTTTGATCCCTTTTTACCTGTTATGGCAAAAAATGCCCCCAAAGTAAGGAGAAAAATCAATGCTTTCAAGCTGCAAGAAACAGGTATCTTTCATATTGGTAATTTGTTTTCTTCTCCAAAGGAAGGAGTTCAATTCCTGTAAGCACAGACCCTCCAATGTTTCCATAAAGAAAAAGAAAAAAAGCATGAATTCTCACATCAGTAAGCCTTGCATAATATTAGACATTGTGAGGAGCTCTTCTTTGCCTGCTTACACTTGTAATTTGCCTTGCAATTTAAGTCCTGCACTGGCTTCCAAAGTCAAATGAACACAACAAAGAGTCTTGTGGCACCTTAAAGACAAATAAATTTATTGTGGCATAAGCTTCCATGGACTACTTCTAACAAGCTTCTTTTAGAACTTGAAGAATGAAGGGGAGAGATAGTTGTTACTGTCAAGACTGGCTATGTACTTACTATGGGATCACTTCAGCTCAGACACCCTCAAGTAATATCTTGTATCCCAGTAGTCAGTCCTACATCAGAGAGTGGGAAAACTGTGCAGCGATAGTATTTGAACAGGCAGGCAAGACTTGACTAGGCATAGCTTGCTCGTGCAGTTAAGGCTGTGATGCTATAAAAAGATAATTGTCCCACAATGTATGTTCCTACTTATCAGTTTGAAATGAACTTTACCAGCTGTAGCCGCTGAAACTGACTGGTGGCTGAGAAGTCTTGTGTGTACGCAGGCAAGAAGCACCTGCGTCCTGCTCTGAAATTTAACTGCTAGAGGCTTGGAGGAAGGAGCTGAAATACCGAGCGGCTGTGGTGCCTAGTGCACGCACACTGACCTCTTTCTGAAAATCACCTTCCAAAACTTCCCCCGAGGAAGAGACACAAATGGAGAGTTCTAAGATCATGTATAAGCTGCCTTGGATTCCTTGAAGGGAAAAGGGGGGTACAATTGTAATCAATGAATTACAGACATGTCTAGGTGGCCTTCCATTCTGGGTCTGTCAGGTATTCTAACCACTTTGGTAAAGAGTTACAATTAATTATAATTATTTATAATAACTAACTAATCTGTACATGTGTACAACTGTATAGTACATTTCTGTGGTTGGCCTTGGAACTGATCCTTACCTGTGCTCCCATCCTTCACCAATGTGGTACCCACCAGATGTGTTGGACTGCAACTCCCATCCTCCCCAGCCAATCTGGGAGGCACATCTGGAAGGTACTGGGTTGAGGAACATCTAGACGATTGTTCTAATCTGTTTTTATTCTGAAAGTGCTGCTTTGTACTTAAACACACACCCAGTGAAGATATGTGGAGAAACCAACTTCATGGGCTTGCATTTTTAACTCACAATCAAGACCACTGGGCTAATTCTTCTGTGCTGAATAGAGTGGCTGTGATCTGTGTTAATATCACTGGCAGGTAGTCTGACCTGCAATGTGTAAGCAGCGGAACCTTCTCTGATCAGAACAGTGTATCTTATTGTTAAGACCACAATGGGTTTAAGTCTTTTGGAAACCCACAGGGACAGTTAAGCCCAAAAGCAAGGTACATGTTGTTCTTCTCCCACACCCTCCTTTCTTCCTGCTGTTTCTCGCTGGCAGGTTGATGGCAAAACTAGCAAGCAGGGTGATTCCCTGGGGATTCTGTTTTTCTTCTTTGTTTTGAGCAAGCAGCTGGGATAGAGCAAACGGGATTGTTATTAATTTTGAGGAGTCTGCAGCAGAACAAGGGAGCTGATCAAATATGCATAGAGAGGAGTTCATGTTTTACTGCTTATCTGAAATAGATGGTTGCCATAACGTTCAGGGAACATTATCACTTCTGAATTTGGGAACATGAAATAGTGCCCAAGTAGATTTAATATTGTGACAGCAACATCCAGCTTAGTTGAGTGTCACCTCTAGAATCCTGCAATGACAAAAGAGCACATCCTGCACTTCAGATATCCTTCAAATTCTGCAGTTATTGTAAAGTAAGTTCACATTGGCCTTGCTGAACTGGAAATGTGAAACTTTTTGTACATTTTTTCTAGTGTTTTAGTTCATTTATGCAGAAATATTAGTTCTGTTTTCCTTTCTGTTTTCCATTTTTTGACATGGATCACAAATCACACAAAATACAAAAGCTGGAAAATGGTAAAGAAAAGATCCATGTGTCTGCTGTTTCCTGCCCTCTCATGTGTGTCTCTCTGGACATGGGTCCAGGTGCTGACTTTCCCTTCCCAGCTGGTGGCCATCCTGTTTATGGGGGAAAGTAGTATGTTCCTCTCGGTTTGCTTATCATGTTGACTGAATCAGACCCTTACATTGCAATCCCAGAAGGAAATCTCACTGAGTACAGTAGGCTTACTCCCAAGTAAGGATGCATGGTAGTCCATGAGTATAGAACCAAAACCTAGCAATGCAATCCTTATACAAGCCTCCCCAGAAGTGAGTCCCACAGAGTTCAAAAGGGATGAATCCCAGGAATGTTTGTATTGGATTGTAGCCTTAATGTATTACTAGAAGGAGTAGAAAGGAATATAGAAAGGGGCTGTGCATAAAATCTTAACATCCCTTGACTACAAGACCTATTCTAATCACTTGGAGCAAAAAGGATAATTTAGCAGAAACTGCCAACATTATTTTAGATTATTTTTCCTCTGCAATAACAATGACTAATGACCTACTTAAAAAGAAGAGGAACACAAAGAAGAAGAAGAACAAAAGCTGGAGTCTAAAAATAGAGTGTGGTACCTGATTTTGGATTGGATGATGTATTTTTAAAGACTGTGTCATTGCCATAGCCATTTTGTGTTCTGTATTCCCTGAGTCTGCTCCACTTGAACGCCTCCCCCCATCATCAGAAAATATTATTATGTTTTCCCTTGTTTTTGCTTTTTCCAAGCAAAGTGCATGCACACGGGGCAGGCCCATCCTTAATATGCCTTGTGTACTTTGGGCCTCAGTCTCATCCTCATCCAGATGCACAGGGCTCTGTAATACTGAAAGTATTTCTCTTCCTTTTTCAAAGGCATCGATCAGGGCCAGATGACGTACGACGGCCAGCACTGGCATGCCACAGAGACCTGCTTTTGTTGCGCACAGTGCAAGAAATCCCTGCTGGGGCGGCCATTCCTGCCAAAGCAAGGGCAGATTTTCTGCTCTAGAGCCTGCAGCATGGGTGATGACCCCAACGGCTCCGATTCCTCGGACTCGGCCTTCCAAAGTGCCAGAGCCAAAGAATCGCGGCGGAGTGCCAAGATTGGCAAGAACCGGAGCAAGGGGGAAGAGAACCCCGCCAGCCAGAGCAGCCAGCTGCAGGTGAGCTCCAGCAGGCTGTCGGCCGATGTGGACCCCCTCTCCCTGCAGATGGACCTGCTGAGCTTGTCCAGTCAAACTCCGAGCCTGAACAGGGACCATGTATGGAGAAGCCGAGATGAACTGTACCACTACGGGGGCAAGATGGAGCAAAGTCAGTCACAGAGCCCTTTGCAGCTGCTCAGCCAGTGTAATATCAGAACTTCCTACAACCCAGGGCAGACCCCGAGTGCCCAGCAGGAGCTCTGGGGTAAGCATTTCAGCAACCCAAAGAGAAGCTCCTCTCTGGCCATGAAAGGACATGGCGGCAGCTTCGTCCAGGAGTGCCGAGAAGACTATTACTCAGGAAGGCTACGGTCCCAGGAGAGTTACAGCGACATGTCCAACCAGAGCTTCAGTGACACCCGCGGGAGTTACAAAGTCTCCAAGTACGACCAGGAGGAAGACGGCAGCCTCTCAGCCCAGCATTGCCGCACCCGGCACCCAATCAACGCGCTGAAGTTTACTGAGGAACTGACGCCCACAGAGCAGACCCCGCGGGGATCCATGGAGTCCCTTGCTCTCTCCAACACCACAGGTAGGTCATGGCTTTAAAAGGTGGCGCTTTACTGTGGCTTCATCGGGATGCGGGGTGGGGGAATCGGGCTCATAATACGTAGCTGTGCTTTGCGTTGGTGAAAGACAAGGGTCCAATTCTGATCCTTTCTCAGACAAAGTGCATCAATGGGCAAAACATGATGCTGCAGCAAGTCAGGATGATGCCATCACATTAAGTAAACATTGCTGCAACGAAGGGGGTGCGGGCATTTATTTATCTAGTTATTTAATTAGAATTTTATATGCCACTCCATATTCTGGTATTGAGGTTCCAAAGCAGGGAACAGTAAACAATAAAACCGATAAAAGAATAGAACGATATGTTAAAAAGAGAATTAACAAAATGTAGCTGGTTAGTACAAGAAGCCTTCCTGAAACGAGTGTTTTCAGGAGGCACTGAAGTCAGCACAGGGTTGGTGCCTGCCGGACCTCCAGAGCTGCGAGTTCCACAGAAGTGCAACTGACGGCCCCTGTCAGGGTGGGCTCCAAGCCGGGCCGGATCTGCATGGAGCCACCAAGGAGATGCTGTGCAGCGACCTCGGCAGCCAGGAAGGTTGATGAGGGAGGAGGCACCCTCTCCAGCATGTCCCAACCAACATGGCATTGACTAGGTTAGATTAAACATGCTGCATGGCATTCTATAAACTACACCCCAGGCTATAGGAATAGCCCCTTATGAGATAATTATATGGAAGCCTCCTTCTCTGGAGAGTGCCTGCCTGCCTAAGAGTTGTGATCTGGTTTTGTGTCCCTGCTAGGCAGAGAGCAGCACTCAGTTTAGTTCAAGGGAATGATGTCTGGGGGGTTGATGCCCCAGAGCAGGAGTGGGGAACAGCAGGCCCACAGGCCTTGGTCCCCATAATCTTTCCCCTGACTGGTGGATGTTTGTGGTTTCCCAGCTTTTGTGCCATTTCCCTCACTCCCAGTTGTGAAAAGTTGAAATGCCACCCCTAAGGCTTACTGAGTGTCATGAAGGCTTTAAGCTAAAATATGCTCTGTTTTTGTCCTCGATCCTTTCTCTCTTGGCCCTGATGTGGCCCTCAGGCTGCAGAGGGTTCCACACAATCATGCCGTGGTAAACACACCACACTGCTGTGCAGATTTCTCCAAGAACCCTCATTGCTTACTGGGTCTGAGAGCTCGGGGCAGAACAATGGAAGGCACGTGCCCCCGAGGCCCTCCTTTCTCCTCCCTGCTTGTTCATCCCTGGCCACGTTTCTTGTGCAGTGAGAACCAGGTGCTTCTTCTGCTCCGTGGGTGCGCTCCCCTTTCCGAGGGGACCAGCTCCACTACAGATAGAGGCAAGAGCTGAGAGGGAATCTCAGGGATCTATCACTTTAGTAGATCCCTGAGATTTTTCCCCCCTCAGTGCTGCCACCTCGGTTGGCTACCGTTAGCTTACTGGAATTCTTCTTCACGTCTCATCCTCGCGATGTGAGTGTGCTCTCGCGTAAAGTAGCAGCCACAGCCCGCACCAAGCGTGGCGGAGAATGACGTTGCTGTTTGCGCTGCAGCACCTGCCAGGTGAGGCTTAATAGGGAAGAACCAGGAGAAGCCAGCCTCTGCATCGTAGCGAGTTCTGGAGTGAGAGAGGTCTCTGCAGCCTTACACAGAAGCGACTGTTGTCAAGTGCGATGCTGACTCTCATAGAGTGATGCAGGCGGCTGCTCAGGAAATTGCACGTCTGTGTGGCAGCCTTTTGTTTCTACACGGTTTCTTATCGATCTGGATTTCTCTCTGAAGCAAGCTGTGGTCTCATGCGGCTCTGTTGCTTTTGTCTTCCTCTTATCTTCTTGCCGTGGAAAGAAAGGGTATTGCGGGGCGGGGGCAGCTTTCTGAGGGAGGCTTGTCCTTCGAAATGTCTGTGTATGAAATGCTTTAAAAATCCATGCAGTACTCAAGCACACATGAACATAGACTGCTTTGCATTTCTTAATGTGGATTCTGCATGGTCCAGTCCAAATTCATCATAGGTAAGACAACGGAGGGAGCGGGGGGAGAGATGCCGTGGCCATGGAGTAACTAGTGAGCCACCCCACTGGGCAGATTTTCCAGATTATGCTCCCTGGTCCCGCTTGCCATGGCACCTGAACCCTCGTGGCACGGCTGGTTTGACAGCAGCCTTCAGACAACCCACAGGCTCTTGTTCGGATGACATGGCAAGCCCTGCCAGTAAGGGAGATCGGGGAAATTTGACCAGCATTCATGGTGGGGGTCATAGACCACTGTGACTTACCTCCTTCACTGCAGTCATGGGGACTGGCCAGTATTAAGGGATAAGTATGAGCCAACATAGTTAGACATATTTAAGGTTGAAATTGAGGATTGTGGGATTAGTAAGTGAAAAGCTCAAAGATGGAAGCTGCTCTGTATGCTTTGAATTTTCCTCCTTTCAAACAGGACGATCCATCATTTCCTAAAACCAAAGCCAGTTGTATGTGCATCCTTTAAAAGCTCTAATAAAGCTATTTCCATCCTCCTCACAACGAAGTCTATCCCTTGACCCCATAGCTTAGAGGAAAAGAAAAGTGTTGTGTTTCTGCTGTGTTTGCTTTGAAGCAGTCAAGTGTGTATCTTACATTGCACTTTTGGAATATGATAAATGATATACTATTTTACTGAAGATGGGTGCTCAGAGATGTAATGCAGGGTCATGGTGTTCATCTCTTAAAATGCAATTTTAACAAGGGAGGTAATTAGGGAGCAGAAGAAAGAGGTAAGCAGGAATATAACTGCCTTTTCCTGTGAGCTTGGCTCATATTTATCCTATAAGTTTCCACTGCCCTTTCCCTCTCTTCTATGCTGGTGGTACCAACTGTATTTAGACAGCATTGTAACTCACACTCCAGGGTTGAGTGTTGGTTGTTGAAGTGTGGATTGTTCTTGAACCATGGACTATCATGTTGACTGATTGAACCCAGACATGCAAACAAACCATTGTTAGCTATGAACAACCCACAGTTACAGTCCAACATTAAACAATGCTTTCTCTTCATGGATTATTTGTGGTTAACAATAATGGTTTGTTAGCATGGCTGGGTTCGGACAACACAACCTGATTCAACAACAATCTACACTCAACCCTTGACTGGGGTTTCATGTTAAGCGGACTCTGTGCATCTCCCTTCAAGGATAGCGGAGTTCAGTGGCTATGTAGCCATGCCAGTCGACTGAATAAGCACCTGCAAATCTCCAGTATTTGTAACTACTGCAAGAAATGCCTCCTTGATGGGATTGTTCTCTTTTTCTAGAAAAGACACAGTTTTTATTTTCCTGCTGCTAGTCATGGAACTTATTTCTTGGTAAAAACGGCAGGTTAGCACAGCCTATTCCATCTAGCTCTTAGATGGTTTGCACTATAACTTCCATCCCCTCAGCATGGCCCATTGTTGGGGTGATGGGAATTAGTGCCCAAAACATCTGGAAAGCACCAGTTTGGGGAAGGCTGGACTAGCAAATAGTGAGACAGGAGTTCTTTTGCTGCCTGCAGCTGCAAAAATACCAGTTCCCTTTCTGTTTTTGTAATATCCCTTGAAGACTGCAGATGTTCCCATCAGAGGGCAACAGAAGTCACTCTCTGATGGCAGTGTCTGATGGCGACACACACACACACACACCAGGATGCATGATTGTCTGAAGGAGCGCTTACATCTATATGTGCCCGGCCACCCCTTGAGATCTGCGGGAGAGGCCCTTCTCCGGGAACCCTCCGTGAAGGAAATTAGGAGGGTGGTTACTCAGAGGAGGGCTTTCTCTGCAGTGGCGCCCAATCTATGGAATGCGCTCCCCAGAGAGGTCCGCCTGGCGCCGTCGTTATTTGTTTTTCGGCACCAGGCGAAGACCTTTTTATTTAAGCATCATTTTAATTGTTAACAATATTTGCTTATTTATCTGGCCAGGGCGACTTCTTTTATATTGTTATTTATTTTATATTGTTAATTTTATATTGTTATTTTTGTATTTTATTGTATTTTATTTTGTGTTGTGAGCCGCCCCGAGGCTTCGGCAAGGGGGGGCATAGAAATGTTTTAATAATAAATAAATTGTTCAGGACTGTTGACATTCCTGCTCATTGTGAGGCTTGGACTCATGTTGATCTTTGGTGAGGGAAGGAGCCAATTCATATGACCGCACTTGCCTTCTCTGCTTCCCTGCAAAGTGAGAAGACACTGAATCATATAAATGAAGATGATCTTGTCTGCGGCTCCATTCTTAGCTGCAGGGAAGAGGCATTTCTATTATCTTCCATGCCAGAGGAAGATTTTTATTTTTTCCCCCCCAGCATTTTTTTAATTTTTATTTTCCCAGCATTTTAAAAGTTTAACTCTTTAACTTTATTTTTAATATTGCATTTTAACCCATGCCGCTACTGTGGTTCTGTACAGATTAAATTGCAATTGCTGTGGTTTCATGGTAATTGTGTGTGTGTGTGTGTGTTTTCACATCCTTGGACACACACAATAGCCTATCCTTGAACACCCTCACCAGTGGGGCTTCAACCACCTCCCATGGAAGCCCTTTCCTTACTCCAGGAACCCTAACTGTCAGGAAATCCTTCCCAGCATCCGAATGGAACCTTGGTTCCCTGAGCTTTGCTTTGGAGGAGTCTGCCATGGAAGATATGGGGGAGAAGTCCACCTCCACCAGTGGGCTAATCCAGTGTTAAATAATCAATTGCAACCCATAATATTTGCCCAGTCAGCTAGTTCTGGTAATTTGAGTAAGGTAAGGCAGAATGTTTGTGTAAACCCTTTATTTATTTTCTGTATTGCCCAACAGCTGAAGCTCTCTGAGCAGTTTGCAATAACAGATAAAACATACAGTATAAAATGCAAACCACACTGATACATCATCAAAGGGTTTCCATACAACATTTAAAACCAAATTTAAAACACATATACAGAGTTTCAATAATGTGAAAATCGTAAGATGTGTTTAAGCAGCTGACAAAGCAGCCCCAGTACACTAATTAAATGTTCT